AAATACAGCAACATGCACTGATGAGTCATGACGTAACGTTATGTAAACATATTTGGTCCAATTTGGAGCTTTGTTTAAAGTAAAGTTACAATTTCATATTTTTAAGTTATATTTTTAAAATTTATTAAAATAAAGCCTTAAAATAGATGGTATCTATAAACAGTCCTACCTTGTTAAAAAATAATCCTATTAATCCTATAATTCACTATAGCCAGTTGAGAAATTGGCAAAATATCATTTTCAACTTCAAATTCAAACGTTTGAAGATATCTATTCCATGGGGGGAATAGGAAAACAATGGAGATAATTGTGTTATTATTTCCTGTGTCAATGATTTTTAAGTGTGGGAAATAATGCCTATGATCGTATAATAGTGAGTTGTGCAAAAGACATAGAAATAATTATGTTTTGACTTTCTTACAAAATATGAAATTCTCGCTTTAAAGCGTAATCATATTGTTACGCAGCTAGCTATTGGTTGTTAATCGGACTATTACGGAGAGTATGGTTGCTTTTGGGCTTGTTTGCCATAGACTGGACAAAACGAACAGAAATCACATGTCGGTGGAATTGTCCATAATGATCGACATCTATATAAATGATTCTCTGGTGTTGGCAGAGAAAGTTCCTCAGGGTTTTCCGACGCGGTTTCCCTTTGTCAGAGTTGTACGACAGTGAGCCTAGCAATGCCAGTGTGTAGTCGTTCGGATGGGACGAAAAACCGAGGTCTCGTGTACCCGTTGGCTTTTTATTGCTGAGTACAGTTTGCAGTTTTTGTTCACATTTAAAATTGCAATGATTAAAACAGCTGGCAATATCTGTTTACGATTCGCAAGATAATGATCATTTATTGCTGATTCACATTTGTGTGGGAAATATAAATTTAATATTTAATATACATGTAGAAGAATAAACCAGATAAGAATTCGAGCTTGAATTTAAATTAATTGAAAACATATTATTACTGAGAGAACTGTAATGGAGTATATCATTTGTAATTTGAATTTATCGGGGTGTATTATTTGAGAATGTAATTTGAGATTTTACTTTCTTGTCCATGTTAGGTCATAGGGAGTAGGGTCGCCTGTCAAGTTAATTGCTCCCTCTATCTCTCTCTCTCTCTCTTTCTCTGTCTCTGTCTCTGTCAGTTAAAGCGCCATGTTATTCGGAAGGGGCAACAAAAACCCAAACAAATGGAAACTGAAATAAGAGTAAGCCGTGGCGCCGCTGCGAGGGCAAAAGTTCTCTCATCGTGCACCCAATTTTATTGCAATAGATCCCTCGGGGGGGGGGGGGGGTCAGCGAACCGTTACATCATTGAAGTACCATCACCTCCTCCTTATAATGCAGTATACACACGGATATATAATCTATAACATCCTCATCCCAATGTCCCCGCTGCCAGAGCAAAATTTCTCTCATAGCACATCCCATTTTATTGCAATTGACCCCTAGGAGATTTCAGCGAACCGTTAGATCATTGAAGTGCCATCACCTTCTCATAATGCAATATACACACTAGTTTCTATACAAATTACTAAAACATCCCCAACCCAATGGCACTTAATACGACCTATTCAGATTATTAGCACGTGGGGTCAATTTCTCTCCTTGATGTCAAGATAGGGGTCATTAAATGTCATTAAAGGTCGAGATGTGGAATTCCAGATGGACAATTGAAGCGTGAGGTCAAGTTGTTTTGACCCCCGAGGGAATTAGCCGGATCCAGCTGTTTTCTCTCTTAAAACAATGATTAATAAAACCCGCCATCTTTTTCGTTCAAACAAATCCGGACGTACTGTGGACCATATTGTCTGCCATTGAGTCAGTAGCGTGGTTTCGACTCTTCGCATTTATCTGACATGGAGTCAGGGGCGGATTGGGGCCGGGAACCCGTGTCGGAGCGGCCCCTTTTACTGAAAAATGAACCCCAAATATGCGATTTGCTGGCATGTCTGATTATAATCTCTGTCAAATAATATATCTAATAAATCTACGAACCATCGGCAGACGTTTCTGGCGTATCCCCACAAACAGGGTGCAGGTGACTTAATAATTAGTAAATTTGCGAGCGACAGTGTCGGGTGAATCCGTTGAAATTTTCGGATGAAATTCGGAATCCCCATTGCAGGATTCCGAATTCCGGCCCACACCCAGCACACCCGGCCCAGAAAGTCTATTATACCAGCCCATTCCAGATCCAGTGATGGCGTGGCGGCCCGTTTAAAGCCAACGGCCTCATACAACATGATCATCATCGCTCCATGGCCGGTCCAATACCCCCCCCCCCGCCATATAATGTTCAGCAGAAAAAGGTTTTTTAGACGAATTGGAGTATGGTCACCAGTCCAACCTTGCGGGTTTTCTCCAAGTCCACCGGTTTCCTCCCCACTACTAAAGACCAAAAGCTGCACAAGCGAATTATTGAAATAAAATTGAACTATATGACCTGGTTTCTTTGTGTCGAGTGGACGTTACACCCCTCTCTCTCCCTCTCTCTCTCTCTCTCAGGAGTAGAATAGTAGGCCGTTAAACTCCATTTCTCTCTCTCTCTCTCTCAGGAGCAGAACAGTGGGACGTTAAACCCCATTTCATACTCTCTCTCTTATTCTCTAGGGGGATCACGTGGCTAAGTGGGTAAGACGCTAGCTCGCTAGCCTGGAGGTCGGGTGTTCGATCCCTGCATTGACCGAGAAAGTTCATCCAGATTTTCCGGCGTGGTTCTCCCTTGTCAGTGATGCAGGACGGAGGGGCTGACAAGGAAAGCTGTCTAGTCGTTCGGATGGGACGAAAAACCGAGGTCCCGTGTACACATTGGCGTGCACGTAAAAGATCCCTTGGCAGTTGGAATTCGATATAAGAGTAGGCGGTAGTGCCGCTGTCCGGGCAAAATTTCCCTCATAGCACACTGTATGGCGTATGCCCGTCTTCATTAGCCCAGGTTAGGAGCAGAACAGTAGGACGTTAAACTCCATTTCATTTCATTTCATTTCATTTCTTATTCTCTAGTTCTCTCTCTCTCTCTCATTTGGCATAAACAGTTTATATTTCTGTATTTTATAGCAATATCTTTAGAATTTATCGGTTTAATTACGCGTACCATCAGTTTTATTTGTAACGAGAAAGCCATTTCCAAGTCTCTAGTTGTATGGCAAATGACTTCCTTGTATTTATATATCTACATCCGCCATTCATTCTAAGTTTTTGTTGGGGTGATTATATCTGAATCATGCAATCAGGAATTTTAACAAGCACTTAGTCCGATTCATACATCTCTGTATACAGAATTAGAAAGTCTGAGATGAATATTATTATGAACTATTCAGGCTCTGACTAGGGATTCTCTTCCCTCTGGGAGCCACGGTGGCTAAGTGGATAAGACGCTGGTTCGCGTGGGTAAGGCGCTGGCTCGCGTGGTTAAGGCGCTGCATTGGCCGAGAAAGTTTATCGGGAATTTCCGACGTGGTTTCCCCAGTGGTGCAGGAAGGGGGGGGGGGGCTGACAAGGACAGCTAACTAGTCATTCGGATGATACAAAAACCCGAGGTCCTGTGTACACATTGGCGTGAACGTAAAAGATCCCATGGTAGTTGGAATTCGATATTAGAGTATAATATGGGCCGTAGCGCCGCTGTCCGGAAAAAAAATTTCCTCATAGCACACCGTATCGCGTATGGCCGTCTTCATTAGCCCAGCCGGAGCAGAACAGTAGGACGTTAAACTCCATTCCATTTCATTTTATTTGACGTGAACCAAATTGATGAGCCTATTTTTAGTCCTATTGAATCCAAGGCTGGCGATTATCCAGCGATAGTATTTTGATTAGATGTTCAATCTGAGTATAATTGGGGGGTTGAATGGCTGAATGGTTAGCGTGCGCGCGCTGTATCATTACGTCTGTCATTGAGTCGGCTGGCGTGGTTTCGAATCCCCGGTTGTACGTGGCAAGGAGTAGGGTCGCCTGTCCAACCTCGTGGGTTTTCTCCGGGTCCTCCGGTTTCCTCCCACTGCTAAAGACCCCTACGTGCAAGCGAATTATGTAAATACAATTAAATCATATGTTAGTCCCGAAATGACCTAGTTTGTGTCGAGTGGACGTTAAACCCAATCTCTCTCTCTCTCTCTCTCTCTTTCTCTGAGTATAATTGCGTGGATTAAGCCGTGAGAAATTTGATTTTACCCGAATAATGAGAATCACGCATCGTCACTTGAAAGCAATGACTCTCAACCTTTTCTTGGCAACGGCACACCTTGGAACACATGGCACACCTGGCTAAATATATATAAAAATATCTGACGGCATTTTCTTAGTGTGATGTTCAAAATTTCGCGGCACACTTAGGAAGATCTCGCGGCACACCTGTGTGTCGCGGCACACTGGTTGAGAATCACTGCTTTAGAGAATAGTCGGACATGATAGGCCTAATATTGGAACATAAATATAGAATTAAATGGGTGGTCACCTAAAAAAACAAGACTACAAAGATTTATTTGATGGGTCTAATCGTTTTCACGGCTAGAGTTTCCGCCTAATGGTCTAAATTTGTACATATGGTTAAAACGTGGAACTATTTAACCCCATATCTATTATTTTCATTCGTCAGAGAACGACATAATTTATTTCTTCTAAACCTCATTATTCTTCGACTTCTGAACATTTGGATTCGCATCGATCACACCAGGGGCTGATTTGATTGGTTGAAGTTACGTGACGAATGATAACATTATTTCATTGATAAACTGAGAATCACCTGTAGCAGACGATAGCCGGGTGCGAATGTACATCACGTGATTACAAGAGATAATTCTATTGGCTAACAGCGTTTCTTGTAAAGTTACAGAACTTTCTTTTACAGTCGACTGAAGAAGTGAGTCTGGGATATCGTTTATTTGGAATTTACCGAACAACCACATCGCTTTTCAATTGATTTTCAGTGAACGTTTATACCCCCGTGGATTAATGTGGATTTTACTTTTCAATTGGAATTATTTTCTTTACAGATGACGGAGGCATTTCTATGGATTTGTGTGTTATCAGTCGTCGTGGGGGAGGTGAGTTTTAACTTGTCCTATTTGAAAGTATTTGTTAATTGATGTTTTTTGTTTGTACCCGTTTTTAACCATATATTTATTCAGTAAATATTTGAATTTGTTTTGAGAAAAAAGGACTGATTTAAGTCCGATCTTCCTGAGTTTATTAACGACGAAACGGAAATCAGTGTTAGACGCGTAATCCCGAATAAGTTGGGGTTTTTTCAGAGCACCGTGTAATGATCATAGATTGGGGTATTGAGGGGACTGGAAGGAAATTGATCTATATGTAAAGAGAGAGAGAGAGAGAGAGAGATGGGATTTAACGTCCACTCGACACAAACTAGATCATTTCGGGACTAACATATATGGTTCAATTATATTTCAATAATTGGCTTGCGCGTAGGGGTCTTTAGCAGTGGGAGGAAACCGGAGGTCCCGGAGAAAACCCACGAGGTTGGACAGGCGACCCTACTCCTTGTCACGTACAACCGGGGAATCGAAACCGCGCGAGTTGACTCAATGACAGACCGTATGATACAACGCGTACGCGCCAACCATTCGGCCACCCCCCACTCCTTGTCACGTACAATCGGGGAATCGAAAACACGCGAGTTGGCTCAATGACAGACCTTATGATACAACGCACACGCGCTAACCATTCGGCCATCCCCCCATCCCCTATATTTAACGTATGGTTCAATTTTATTTCAATAATTCGCTTGCGCGTAGGGGTCTTTAGCAGTGGGAGGAAACCTCAGGTCCCAGAGAAAACCCACGAGGTTGAACAGGTGATCTTACTCCTTAATTGTCACGTACAAGCGGGAAATCGAAACCACGCCACTTGACTCAATGGCAGAGCTTATGATCATTCGGCCACCCAACGACCTGTCGTCAAAAGGTGACTCTGGCTTTTTTATATCATCTGTGGACGATGTGGACTGATTTCATGCATCATGGGAGCTCTGATGGCCCAGTGACAAAGGCGCTGGCTCACTAAAGCTGGGTTCCCACTGTCCTGCGATGCGTTACGGTAAGATTGTCCCTATTATGTCTACGATCTGCTACGTGCAGATACGTTCGGATGCGTTTCGATACGACCTACACGATTGCTACGACTGACCTCGATATATGATAAGACCTGATAGGATCACCACGATTACTCCACGATTAAAACCACGATTTGAATCGTAGCAGGAATCATGATAGTGGGAAAGTACCATTACCGGGTGGTCGGGGTATGATTCGGGTGTTGGTCGAGAAAGTTACCTAGAATTTTCCAGCGTGGTTTATTCTTTTCAGCGGGTGCAGTTCGGAGGGTCTGTCAAGTACAGTGTCTAGTCGTTCAGACTGGAAATGAAATGAAATGGGGTTTAACGTCTTACTGTTCTGCTCCTAACCTGGGCTAATGAAGACGGGCATACGCCATACAGTGTGCTATGAGGGAAATTTTGCCCGGGCAGCGGCACTATCGCCTACTCTTATATCGAATTCCAACTGCCAGGGGATCTTTTACGTGCATTCTTATATATACACGGGACCTCGGTTTTTCGTCTCATCCGAAGGACTAGACAGCTGTCCTTGTCAGGCCCTCCGTCCTGCATCACTGACAAGGGGGAACCACGCCGGCGTTCGGATTGGACAATTTGTCTTACATATTGGATCTTTAACGCATTGACGCTTTAACGATGTGCCAGTGGCTGTCCATTGTTATGAGAAGTAACGACACACCACTTCACACGAACTATCATTCTGCATTCTTTGTCCTTCGTTTATTTTCAGCTCTCAATTATTTATGGCTCGAATAACATTGCGTAACATCTCGTTACAAAGCTGAGTATATTCTCTTTTACTAAATGTCAACTGAAATGAAATGAAATGGGGTTTAACTACTGTTCTACACCGACTAGGCTAAACAGAGAGAGAGAGAAATGGAGTTTAACGTCCACTCGACACAAACTAGGTCATTTCGGGACTAACATATGGTTTAATTTTATTTCAATAATTAGCTTGCGCGTAGGGGTCTTTAGCAGTGGGAGGAAACCGGAGGACCCGGAGAAAACCCACGAGGTTGGACAGGCGACCCTACTCCTTGCCACGTCTAGGCTAATGAAGACAGACATATGCCATACAGTGTACTATGAGACAAATTTTGCCCGGACGGCGACACTACGGCCTACTCTTATATCAAATTAAAGATGAATGAAATGAAATGGGGTTTTACTATTCTACACCGACTGGGCAAATGAAGAGGGACACATTCTAAAAAAATATGTCGGATTATTTTACGATGCATTACATAATTTTATCAACGAATGCATGACTAAAAAACGGGTTACAATTCGACCTTCTGACAAGCCATGGTTTAATTCCGAAATACGAAAAGCGATTAGAAATTCGTGATAGGTTACGAAGACTCTCTATTCTAAGGATTTGAATAGGTACATAAACAAAGAAATAAAGTATTTGTTTTTGAAAAAGAAAAACATTGAAAATCTAAATATTATGATATAACCTTCTTTCAACTATCACCGATCCGAAAAATAAAATCCTTCTAGTGATTTGTGGTACCCAATCAAACATTTATTACGGCAAGATGTTACAAAATATTATACCATCTTTAATATCAGATACAGATGATCAGGTTGCATGCACTGACGATACGAAAAGGCTGAATTACTGTATTCGATCTTTAGATCCGTGGAACCACAGTGGCTAAGTGGGCAAGACACTTGCTCGGTAGCCTGGAGGTCGCGTGTTCGATCCCTGCATTGGCCGAGTAAAATTATCGGGGTTTTCCGACGTGGTTTGCGCTTGTCAGTCATGCGGGGCGGAGGGCCTGACGAGAACAGCTGTCTAGTCGTTCGGATGGGACACAAAACCGAGGCCCGGTGTATACATTGTCATGCACGTAAAGGATTCCTTGGAATTTGAAATTCGATATAAGAGTAGGCCTAGGCCGTAATGCCCGGACATAATTTCCCTCACGGCTCACTGTATGGTGTATGGCCGTCTTCATTACTGAACAGTACGACGTTAAACCCCATTTCATTTCATTTCTTTAGATCTGTATCCAATAACGAATGACTAAGGCGACATCTTTATATTTCGTTCTAGAAAGAATATTCGATTTGAAAAGCCTGAGATACCAAATTCTGAGATAGTTGACTTCATTTCAAATCTTAACATCAAAAAAGCAAACGGCCCTCATAGAATAAATATTCTCCTTTTAAAGCATCTAGCCCCCCCCCCCCCCCGGGAAAAAATTATCGACCATAAACACCCTAGATTGGAGTGTCCGTTAATTTTACAGCACCCCTGAGAACACTAAATACTTACCAGTCTGACTTTAGTTGTCGACTGAATGATACGACAGCATATTGCAGACATAATTAGGGATTACATGGCAAATTTCTTCAAACTGTAGTTTTCAATATTTTATCGATTTTTGATCGATTTGTGCTAGTCATTTAGATTTTAAAAGCGAAAGTTGATGACATTGCTATTAAACAACCCTTTGAAATAAAAGTTAAGCTGGTCTATCAACATTTATGTGTTTGTTTACTCGGTCATTTCGGAACTAACATGGTTCAATTTTATTTAATAATTCGCTTGCGCGTAGGGGTCTTTAGCAGTGTGAGGAAACTCACGAGGTTGGACAGATGACGATACTCCTTGTCACGTACAACCGGGGAATCGAAACTACGCCAGTTGGCTCAATGACAGACCTTATCATACAGCGAGAATGCGCTAACCGTTCAGCCATCCAACCCTAATAGTTACAATGCGTTAGCGTAAAACTGCGACAATTTGTCTTGAGAATGTCTTGAGTCCGAGTTTTTGAGTCGGGCGTACCATATCTCAGGGTGTTTGGGTAGTGGTTTTGAACAGTTTATTTAGTAACAATTTAAAGTAACCAAGCAAAACCAAAAACACGTGGGTATGGTGTTGTTAATGACTAATGATTCACAAAACAGGCTGGACATACTTCTACAAAACTAGGTCTTGTCATTAGTTAAGCAAAGTATACACACACACACACACACACACACTGAGAGAGAGAGAGAGAGAGTGGGGGGTGTCTTGTCATTAGTCAAGGCAAAGAACAAAGTGCAATTTGTAACAGCAAGGTGCAAACCAGATAAATTCATTAAAAATAGTCTCGGTCACCCAGAACCTCCTAGTCTTCAGAAACTGCATCAAAAACAACTTAATATATATATAGAGAGATGGTTTAACGTCCACTCGACGGTGCCTAGTCGTTTGAATGGGAGAAAAAAAACGAAGTCTTGTATACACGTTGGCGTACACGTAAGAGAACCCTTGACAGTTGCAATGCGATGAAGATTAACCGAATTGTGCGACTTGTCTCGCAGAGCACACTGCATGGCATTTTTATCCCGCTTGGTGCAGAAAAGTCGAACGTTAAACCCAATTTCACTTACAACTCCCAGAAGCCTCTTCGTTTACTCGCGGCCTTTAGAGAGAGAAAGAGAGAGGGGGGGGGGAGAGAGGATGACGTCCACTCGACACAATCTAGGTCATTTCGGGACTAACATATGGTTCGATATTATTTCAATAATTCGCTTGTGCATAGGGGTCTTTAGCAGTGGGAGGAAACCGGAGGACCTGGATGCAGCAATTTTTGCCCAGTGAGAAGACACTGGTTGGCAGATGATGTGCTTGGCTCACTATTTTTTAACAAACAAAATAAAATCTCATACCACTTTTCAAGTTTATTTAGTATCAAAACCAATCTACAGGTATCTGGTTCGGATTTAGCTTGCATGGGGTCCCTGGCTGAAAATGTGACTGGGGCCCTTGCATCAACTGTGAAAAGGTGTCATATTCTGATGACTGTCCGTCATGCTCACTCACGCAGGCTGATAAGATTTATTTGGCACCATAGGCGTACGGGCTCGATGAATGTTAGGGGGGCAGAACCTTAAATGCGGTCCCGGTTGTCTGCGAGAGACGATGGAGCGGAGCTTACCGTGTAGACACCAACAATGATAAGTTGG